ACCCATCCTGCCTGCAGTATGCAAATTAGCCACCATCTTTGTTGGCGCTTAATTTGCATATCGCGCCGATTAGCCAATGGGAGGCGTAGCGAAGGTATGGTCAATTACCATGTTTGTCTGTTATTTATTATATAGGATGGTGTAGGCCTAGGTATCAAGAAAACTTTAAAAATATGAAAGCAACTGCTGAAGTCTTCTCTGAGTTTAAGTTAAACATAAATTTGTAGCTTGTTTTGTAGCAATGCTTACTGGCCTGGGAACATGAGTACAGAAAGCTGATGGTGGAGATGATTCACTGATGTGGACCAGTCAATAGCTAGGTAGAGAGTGAAGCAGGATAGCCCGACTGCAGTGGAGTCCTGGAAAGGATTGGGGTAGTGGAATTAGAAGAGTTTTGATAAAGGAACAGAATTCTAAGCACACACTCACTTGGGATTTTAGTAGATCATTTCAAACATCTCAAGCATTTGAAAGAAATATTTTAAAGTAGTATGAATAAGGCTCCCTTTGGAGATAGGTTTTCAATATTAGACATTTCTAACTTAATGAAATACTGGTATTTTGAGCAGAAATATAATTTTATCTTTGACTATTGTAATAAAATCATATCTCTCTTTTCATGTAGTAATTTTCAGGTTGGTAGCACCCATAGAAGGATCACTAGAATGGGATATTCTTGAAGTTAAGCGCCTCCTTGATCATCAGGATAATATTCTCTCATTGGCTAATATCAATGGTAAGCTCAATGTGTATATGCTTATATTATGTAAAATTTTATACTTGTTAACAATCTGTTATGAGCTTCAGTCTTGTTTTGTTCTAGGATGTCTATAATTATCTTCATTGAAATAATTTTGATTAGTAGGGATTGGCAGTCTTTTATATGTGAAATTCAAGGCAGTGGAACTAATGAAGTTTCCTAGATTGGTAGAGTTAGATTTAGGCACAAGGAGAATAAAGTGAGGAGAGAGGAGATGGAGGAGAGCATCATTATCATGGGCTCTGTGGGATGATTGTCATAGGCTGTAAATACTAATGCTTAGTAGCATTTTGGAATTTTTGGCAAATGGTTCTGGCTAGTCCCAATTTTGTAGACCACACAGTATGATTTATATAGCAAGTTACATACTTACAGTTGAATGAGCAGGATTTAAGGCAGCTGTTTTCATGATTGAAGACTATCAGAAAATAACACCAAAGTAAGGTAAAGGTCTGCAGAAAATGGGTCATATCTGTCCTTCCTCATGATTGTGAATTTTGACTTGCTAGACTCCTATTTAGCTTCATAATAATTTAAAAAAATATTTTGTATTGATTTTTTTTAGAGAGAGGATGGGAGAGCGAGAAAAAAAGAGGAGGGAGGGAGGTAGGGGGGAGAAAGGGAGAGGGAGAGAGAGAGAGAGAGAGAGAAGAGGAGGGGAGGGGAGGAGAGGAGAGAGGAGAGAGAGAGAAACATTAATGTGAGAGAGAAACATTGATCAGTTGCCTCCCGTGCATAACCAGACAGGGGACTGAACCCGCAACCTGGGCATGACCTTTTGGTGCATGGGACGACTCAACCAACCAGGGAAACTTCATAATAATTATAATGAGTATGTTCTGTAAGCCCAGTCTGACATCAGACGGCAGGATAGGATCCCAGTCAACAAATCCTGGCATTTACCTAGTTCACTTTCAAATAAAGTGGCATATCATCAGTTATTCTGGGTGATCTGTGTTGAGGTCAGATGAGAGGCCTTCTGGGTGGCTTTACTTCTATAGTCTGGAGGAGACTGTAAGAAGCTTCTGTAAGATGCCATAATATGATAGTGGGAGGATTGGACTGCACCCCCTGACCTGAGACCTGGGTTGGCTCTTTTGAGCAATACTTTGCATAAACATGCGGCAAAGGAAAAGAGCGGCACAGACAGCACTAACTGTAGTCTCCATTTGTATGCCATTTAGTAACATTTTTCAGTACGTCAGTGAGAATGTTCCTTCCACTTCCACAGTCCTCTTCTCCAACAGCCATCTTCTTGTACAACCTAGCTGCAAGTCTTTCTAAGGACTAGATTTGTCTGTGGTGATAGAAGTAACAATGTTGGGAGCACTCCTTTATTTCTCTCAGGGGGCTCTTTTTCCTCTAGCCATGGATGGCAGCACAAAAGGCAAATTCTTATTTGAAAGACCCTCTGGCACTGAGCCATAAGCTCCAAGGCCTCAGAGCTACTGGGAAAAGCACAGCTGTGTTCTGACCCATTGAACTGGTCATGCCTAGTTGTCTTGTTTTAGTGGCGAAGCATTTGTACCATTGACCCAGCATGGTTCCTTAATAACGTTGATGGAATGTTACTGAGGTAGCCTTAACTTCATGGCACTTCTTTTGCTGTGTGATGATATGTAGAGAAGTTAATAACAGTTTAACCAAGAAAACTTTTTTCAAGTATTTTCTTTCCAACTTCTCAAGGTGAGGAAAATGGAACACTGAAGCAAAAAAAATTAATGAAAACTACAGAAAAGCCCTAGTACTTTTTACTTTATAAACTCCATGACTGTAAATTTACGCTACAGATAATAAGGATATATAGGAATCATACATGGTTGAGTAGTCTGGTAAGATGTGAACATGACATTGTGACAGTCTGATCTTGTACGTAGGCATGTCTGCCTTGCTGCAGATTTTGGCAGTTTTGAGATGATTATGTTGTACAGTTCTCAGCTCCACCCTCAGCCCTGCTTCTTTGTCCTACCAATTCCAATGAAAAGTGTGGCCAGTTACTGGGTTTGTAATTCACAGGGGAAGTGCATTTTTAGTGAGGGCCCCAGGGCAACCTTAGAATGGTAGACAAATGTGAATAATGAATACCAAGTTACCAAAGATATCTGAATGCCTGGCAGAAAGTTTTCTAAGGTAGACATACAAGATAAACCTTGCTTCTATCTTTTGGCAAAAGGCTCTGGGTACTTCATTTATTTTATTCCTTTGTGTGTGTGTGTGTGTGTGCTGACAACATGATAAAAGTAATCACAAAGTATTAGTACTTGGGAGGGATGGGTAGACAGATGCCAGGTGATATTTTCATACTAAGTGACTCTTGAAAATCCATCTACATGTAATACATCATTGAGGTTGTTTTGTGTGAAACATTTTGAATGACCTGTTTGGGAATATAAATAATTTACACAGCGATAAACTGCATTGAATTAGGGGAGTGCCAGTAATTTTGTTTTTAGTGAAAAATTTCAAGTGGACACGAATACTTTTATCTATTGCATAGGTGAATCACAAACACTTGGAGGATTAAGTCAGAGCAGACAACTTTGTGGTTTCAGTACATTAACTGTGTTAGGACACATGCAGAGTTAAAGTCAAGGATCTTCACTCCTTATTTTCTCTAGTTCTTTTGTAGTTTGACTGAAGTTGGAAAGAAGAGGAAAAGGGATGTAAAAGAAGGTCATGGAAAGATTAGTACTCCCTTAACTTTCTCACTATTAAAATTAGAAGCCTATTTCTCTCCACGGATGAGAAATGAACTTAGAGCAAATTTTATAGAGTCTGTTAATAGACTATAGGAAGTGGACTTGGCACGAAGATAGAATAATGTTTACATGTATGATTGCTGGTAATTCTTTATTTCTAAGAGATTATTCATCTAGTTAGATTTCTGTCCTGGTTTATTTGATAAATGGAATAATTAAATAATAATTAACTCATCTCTGTATTCCTAAATTACAAGTAACTGGATGTTTTAAAACCATTAATAGGGAATAATACCAGGGGCTCAAAATAATACCGGCATTCAAAAATAACATTTGATGTCTTCTTTAAATGGCTAAACGTTTATTATTTAATTTGATTTTTACAATCATCCTCATTTAATGCATGAGAAATCCAAGCTAGAGAAAGGTTAAGTGATTTTTAAAGACCACATGGCTAGTAATAGGCAGAAGCAAAATTAGAACTTGGCTTTCTAAACTCACATTGCATTGTTCTATTCTACCTTACCCTAAATGTATAAAAATTAAAATAAATTACATGATCATTTTTAGTCTCAGCAGTTGAACATTTTCTATTAAATATATAATTTGTAAAGTATCTTAGTTGGTCCACTAATTTCATTTTTTTAAAGGACTTAAAACCTTATAATTGTACAAGTAATACATAGTCATAGTAGAAAAATGAGAAAATAGTGAGAAACATAAAAAATGTAAAAATTAAAATAAAAATTCCCCTACCATACAGTGTTACGCACTAGTCCATATACTTCTAGGTGTTTTTCTGGGCGTATGTATGTGTGTATATGTGTATGCATATGGTTTTCTGTTCTGTAACAGTTTGTCATGAGTATATTTGCATATCGATATAAACATACTTTATAACTTAATTTTCAATAACAGCATTACCATTTCATTTTATGTATACCTTATTTATTCAGTCACCAATTGTATGTTTAGGTTATCTTCAGACTTTTAATACTATGTATAACAACCTTTTATATATGTCTTTTATGTATACTTTCTTCTGGATAAATTTCTGTAAGTGGACTTGTTTTTATCAATGGGTTTACATTTTTTAAAGGTTTTGATGTGTATTTCCAAATTTGAAGGGATTATATCACTTTATACTAGAATATTAGTAGTGTGTAATGTGGGAGTGTGCTCATTCCCTTTGCTTTTACTAGCATTTGGGTATTTTCCTGTTTTATAATCTTTCCCATTTGCAAGTCAGTAAGTAGTATCTCATTGCTTTTGGATATTTCTTATTATTAAGGGAACATCTTTTCACATGTTTATTGACCATTTATATTTCTTGTTTTGCCTGTTCAGAGCCTTTGCCCATTTTTTCTGCTAAAGTATTTTTCTTGATCTTAGTGATTTCCAAGAACTTCTTATGTATCAAATATAATAAACCTATTTTACCTCAGTTGGTTGGAGTGTCATCCCGTACACCAAAAGGTTTCAGGTTCGATCCCTGGTTGGCACGGATGTGGGAGGCAACCAATCAATGTTTATCACATGATATTTCTCTCTCTCTCTCCCCCCACCCCCTTCCTCTCAAAAAAAAAATTAGTAAAAACCCCTTATCCTTAGGTAAGGATTTAAAAACAAAAAATAAAAACCCCACCTATTTTGACATCTAAGTTGCAAAATTTCCCCATCTTTTTGTCATTTAAATGTTTTTTTTTTCTAGGCAGATATTAACTTAGATGCCTTTCCCCAGTCCCCACCCTGCCTCCCCTAGAGCCTTTTACTCCATATTCATAAAAAGTATTGATCATAGTTTTCTTCAATCCTTTAAGCATCTTTAATATTTTAATCTCTTTGAAACTTATTTTGGTATTAAATAATAGAAGAAATATATCTCTATATATGGCTCTGTCCCAAGTTCTTGGCACAGAGCTTCTAAAAACTTACAATTTCCTAAGTGATTAGAGTACAATGAGCATCTTTTGTTCTACTATTTCCTGACATAGGGTACTGAATCTCTTGGAATTTCCTGGGTGATTTCAGTGTCTTTTGTTCTGATGAGGCCACTCTTTCTTGATGGGTTCCTGGTTGGATCTGGTTACCAGAAAGACCAACCCATGATTAGAAGCTTGGAATTTTCAGCTCTATCCCTCATTCTCCAGAGAGGGGAGAGGGGCTGGAAATGGAGTTAATAATTGATCTTGCCTACATGATGAAGCTTCCATAGAAATCCCAACGGTATGGGATTCAGAGAGCTTCCAGGTTGCTGTACCTGTGGAGGTGATGGGAGAATGGTATGCTTGGAGAGGGCATGGAAGCTCCATAGCCCTTCCCACATACCTTGCCTGTGCATCTCCATCTGGATGTTCATCTGTATTTTTTATCATATCCTATATAATAAAAGGGTAATATGCAAATCGACTGAATGGTGGAATGACCAGTTGGGACTGAGCGAGAAGGGCCAGACACACCCTGGAGCCCTCCCGCAGTCCCTCCCTGGCTGGACAACCTCCTGCATCCCTCCCTGGCCTGCGCCTTCTCGCAATTCGGGACCCCTCTGGGGATGTTGGAGAGCCAGTTTCCGCCTGGTCCTGCAGGCCAGGCCTAGGGACCCCACTGGTGCACAAATTCGTGCACCAGGCCTCTAGTTCTTTTATAACATACTAGAGGCCTGGTGCACAAAATTCGTGCCCAGGGAGGGTCCCTAGGCCTGGCCGGCCGGGATCTTTCTTCATTCCATGCTGTCCCCTGGTGGTCAGCACATGTCATAGCGAGTGGTCAAACTCCCAGCCGGTCGAACTCCCAAGGGGACAATTTGCATATTAGCCTTTTTTTATATAGGATTGGTAGTAATTAAGTAAGCTGTTTTCCTGAGTTCTGAGAGCTGCTCCAGCAAATTAATTGAACTTGAGTAGGGGATGTGAGAACCTTTGATTTATAGCTGATTGGCCAGAAGCACAGGTAACAACTTGAACTTGTTATTATTGTCATCTGAAGTGTGTGTGTGGGGACTGAGCCCTTAACCTGTGACATCTGATCCTGTCTCCAGATAGATAGTGTCAGAATTAAGTTAAACTGTAGGTCACCTCGCTGTTGTCACAGAATTACTTGGTGTGGGAAAAACCCACACATCTGATATCAGAAGTGTTGTGAGTGTGGTAGTAGTTGAAGTTAAAGGAAACACACAGGAGAAATGTAGGTTTTCTAAATCTATATGATCCAAAGTAACCAAAATACTTAACCAAATGTTCTAGCATGAGGTATTTCTCTTTCACTAACTGAAACGCAATCATTATCATATATTAAATAGGTAACTTGAGTCTGTTTCTGGTCTTTCTGTTCTGTTATATTAATTGCCCTGTTTGGCTCATCTAGGTACCTCACTGCTCTTATTATTGTGGTTTTGTAGAGCATTATTACTAGGCAGTCCATTCATTTTAATCTGTTGGTAAAATGATCAATAATGAGCTCTATATGAACTCTACCTAGATCTGAGTTTTGTGACTGGCTCCCATGTTGGAGAGCTGATCATCTGGGATACCCTGGACTGGACTATGCAGGCCTGTGAACACAACTTCTGGGACCCATTTCCACAGCTGGACACTCAGCAAGAAATAAAACTGTGTCAAAAACCAAATGACATTTCTATTCATCATTTAACATGGGATGAAGAGGTAAGAAAAAAATCAAGAAAATATCTATAAAGTTGCCTTTTTAAATAAACCCTGTTTCTAATTTTTAAAATTTAACCTATTATTACCCATGTTAAAGTTGTGCTTTAAAATGTTCTGATATTTTTTGAAGATTATACCACTTGCATTTAAAAAAAAAAGCATTTTAATTTTAGCTTCTATCCTTAAGGCAAGGAAGTGATTAAATGGCCACAGATTTAAAAGCTCTCTTGAAATTTTGGGTTGGATTAAATAATTCCATAGGATTTGAGAATAATGATTTAAATTGTTTTAAGAAACACTTTGGGAAAAGAATCCTTTTTAAGATTCTGGTGCATTTCTTAGAGAAGTAAAGGAAATAAAAATATTGAAGAGTTTTTTTCTTTTAGTCTCCTAGCATCCTGGGGCAAGATGATTGTCTGAGAATTACTGATTTCAATCCTTTAGGCCTTGGAGGTGATGCTCTTGAAGTACTTTACATCTTTTTTGCAGTAAGAGATGAATAGCACTGGATTAATGAATCCTGGCTAAGAAAATGTATTTAAAGGGGAGTTTACATTCCTTATGATTACATTTAGAAATAAATGTAATCATAAGAAATGTTTAAGCCCTCGCAGGCATGGCTCAATGGTTAAAGTGTGGGCCCGTGCACTGGAGGCTCACTGTTTTGATCTCGACCTCCCCACCCCCACCCCTCATCAGGGCACTTGTGGGAGGCAATCAATTTCTCACATTGATGTTTCTCTACCACTACCACACACGCCCCATGCCCCCCCGCTCCGTGTCCCCCAGCTTCTTCCACTCTAAAAATCAATGGAAAATATCCTCTAGTGAGGATTAACAACAACAAAAATGTTTAAGGGTTGTAACCTTTGAAGAGAGGAAGCTTTTATTTCACTGTATTTTGTGCCTTTCTGCACTGTTTAAATTTTCTAATTATATGCATGTTATTTTTATTTACACATTTCATAAATAATGTCCTGGATGAAGAGAGTATTGCATATTTTTTTGTTTTCTTTGCACCTCTCTCACTTTAAAAACAAAACAATAGGATAAGACTAGGATACAGAACACTAGTATAACCAGATTAAATTTCTTTATGTCCCAATTTTATGTTGAAAAAAATTAAATATATATGCTAAAGACAATAGGGTTTCAGAAAAGATAGATAACTAGATTTCTAGGAGTTGGAGTCCTAAAACTTATTCTTAATTTTCTCTTTTTAAATCTTTTTCTACTTTCTGAAAAAAATTGGTATTTAAAAAGTTTTTAATTTTGCATTCTTTTTAATCTTAACAATTTTGATAGATGCTTATTGACTATAAATGCTTGATAAAACATTACTCAGTTTTCTCTGACTTTCCTCCTCTTATAGGGGTTCTTTCTTTCTACTAGGGCCCATTAATTATTGATAACAGGTAAATGATAGAGTCTATTGATTGACTCACTGCAGCCTTAAAGCTCATTAATTATCTAGGTGTGTATATAATTTTTTTGTGTGACCTTGGATAAATTACTTAAACTCTGTACAGATTTCCTGGTCTGTAAAACTAGTTTCTTTGTGTTGAATGCTACCAATAGGGTTCTAGATTTTAGCAAGTTGGCTAACTGTTCCTTAATGCCCCTGGCATTGATCCTCAGCTTGCATTGCTAAATGTGGAGTACCAATTCTGAAGGTCAGGGGGATCATAGACTCTGGTAAGCCATGGGGCCATGCTTTGGTCCAGATACTGGAGGTCTGAGTTGGGTTTGAGGCCGCATAAGTAAGGTTTAGACAACAGAGAGGCAATCTGTAGGGATTTTTGAAAGGTCTGCTTCACTGGGGTACCTAATGAGCAAGAATGAATGATTCTAAGATATGTGCTACCAAAAGCCTAGTGACTTGCAAAATGATTTGAGAACCTATGCAGTATGATATGAGGAAAGAAAGGGCAAAGGACTGGAGTAATATGACCTTGAGTATAAATATTGACTTCATGTCTTAATTTTATGTGTAACTTTAATCTTTCAGTTTTAACTTGCTCACCTGAAAGATGCCAATTATACTTGCTTTTCCTATCCTTAATGAGATGTTATGAGGCTGAAGTAAGATAAATATTGTAAAAATACTTTCAAAAGATTAAAGTTGTTTTAATAAAGAGATATTTCTAACTAGAGGCCCGGTGCATGAAATTCGTGCACAGGAGTGGGGTAGTGGCAGCAGGGATCGGGCCTAAACTGGCAGTCGGACATCCTTCTCACAATTCGGGACCACTGGCTCCTAACCACTCACCTGCCTGCCTGATCGCCCCTAACCACTCACCTGCCTGCCAGATCACCCCTAACCACTCTCCTGCCTGCCTGATCGCCCCTAACCACTTGCCTGCTTGATCACCCCTAACCACTTGCCTGCCTGCCTGATCGCCCCTAATCACATCTGCCTTGGCCCCTGTCACCACATCTTCATCCAGAATGACATCCAGAAGGTCGTCGTTTGGCTGTCCGGTCTAATTAGCATATTATGCTTTTATTATTATAGACACTACATTTGGAAAAACATTTTTATGAAGCCTTCAGAGGATTTTAAAATTATAGTGCCACTCTAGCATAGGCTTCTTCATATCCTTTATAGGTCTCTTGATAAAATATGGAGTGCAAGTAATTTTGCTCACATTTTGCAGGAAAAAGAAACTAAGGAATTCTCCCAAGGGTATTGTGTTACCTGAATGAAAACTTAGCTTGTATCTCAGTAGCTTCTGCTGCAGGGCTGATCTACCAGCCCTTTTTCTAGCTGTTATCTATAATAATAAAAGTGTAACATGCTAATTAGACCAGACACCCAAACGACCTTCTGGACGTCATTCCAGATTTCCTTCTGGATGAAGCCGCGGTGACAGGGGCCAAGGCAGAGTTAGTTAGGGGTGATCAGGCAGGCAGGCGAGCAGTTAGGGGCGATCAGGCAGGCAGGCA